CCCCCATGACACCCTATCAACTACTAATTTGTACTTCTTTAACCCTTCACCCCATTCTCCCAGTCTGCCAACTCCCCTTCCTTCTGTCCATTACCAAATTGTCCTCTATATTTGTGAGTCTGCTTTTGATTAGTTTGTTATTTTTGTTCCTTAGATATAAGTGAAATCACATGGTATTTATCTTTCTCTGACTTATTTCACTCAGCATAACCTCTAGGTCCATCCATGTCATTGCAAATGGTAGGATTTCATTTTTTTTTAATGGCTGAGTAATATTCCATTGTATTTATGGAATATAACTTCTTTATCCAATTGTCTGGTGACGGGCACTTAGGTTGCTTCTGAATCTTAATGCATCATTTCCCAAACTGTATCCTGGAGAACATTTGTTCCATGAGATAATTATTCTCCGATAGGATTACAAGATTAAAAAGTTTGGGAAATACTGCATGATAGATATATTCCTAAGGGTTTAAAATAAATTCTGGCATATCAGAGAATACTTAAAGAAAACATATTTGACTTAACCATATTTAGTAAATATTTGACTACATTTATTGGATGGTAGATTCAGTTTCTTTTTAGCTAGATTACACATTAATTTTAAAATACCTATTAAAATTCGTATTTTGCAAAGCACAGTTTGAGAAATATTGTCTTAATGCAGTTTTAGAAATAAGAATCAAAAAGTATTGACCAGAATGCCTTTAGCATATTGTTGGTCCTATCTCTCTCGTTGATACTATCTCTCTCAGCAGCCCTTTTTTATTTTTATGCCCAACTTTATGCTTACAAAATTACATTTTCCCTTAACGGATAAAACTTGAGCCATACCCTCAGACCAGGATATAAAGAGGTCAGTGATAACAGCTTATAGTTCATCTGCTCATTACTCTTTTGCTATTATATTAGACTCCTGGTTGGTCTTTCACTACTTAGGTTGACTTTGCTCTATTGATTGTTTTTATTGGACACAACAGCTTACATAGTATACCACACACAGTGTTGACCTGAATAATTCTACACAGCTTGATAGATGTTAGCACATACACAGTAGAGATCTTCTTGAAACACCTTCTGCGCTTGCATCTGTGATGTCTTTTGCTCTGATATTTTTCCTACCACTGATTGATTTTGCTCAGTCTTCCTAACAGGATTTATTTTTTTCTGCCTATTCCTTCTATGTTGGTGTTCCTTAGGGCTCTGTTTTAAGCCATTCTCTCTTTTGGTAAATTCTTCACATGTGTTCTCATCTATGTCCATGTTTTCAACTATACTTTCTTTGTTAATTTAATTTTCTGTGTTTCATTCTTCCTCACTGTTGAGCTCTTCTTGCCCTAGTCTCAGTTATTGATTAGACCACCTAGACTTGGATGCCTTCAGGATATCCTTATATTAGCATATCCACAGAAAAACTCATTATTTCTTTGTCCAAGACACTGCTTGCTCCAACTTGTCTTTTCTGTCCCAATGTCTGCTACTAGCATCTACCCAGTTATCCAAGCTTTATTCCTGGGAATCATTTTTCATGCCTTTATTTCATTTACCACCCACATACTTGCTTACTCAGCCCCATCAATTCTGCTTCCTGTCCCTCTCTTAAATGATATACATCTTTACGCCACTGCCAAATCTTTTCATCATTTGTTCTTTGGCCTTCTCTTGATGCTTAACTTCTCTTGATGCTTGTCTCTAGTGTTGCCTCTATCCAGGGCATCCTCTGCACTATATGCAGAATGATATATCTAAGACATATACTGAAAATTATAATCAGCACCTCAACCTTAATTAGTTCAAAACCAGACCTCCTCCTCTCTTAGCCTTCTCCATTTTAATAAATAGCAATTTCATAATTTTAATTGCCAAAGCCAAAAGTCTTGGTGTCATCCTTGCCTGCTCTTTCTCTCATCCAGTCCATCATCAAGTCCTGTTGGGCTAAACTTTCAGAATAGAATCAGAACTCAATCATTTCTCACCATATGTACTGCTGTCACCCTAGTTCAAGCTACTATCATCTTTTTCCTGGATTTTCACAATAACTACATACTCATGTCTTTGGTAACTTTTACCTTCTAAAACTATGCTGCTAGCCACCAGTGACTGTTGAACAGTAGAAATATGGCTAATCTGAATTGAGATATGTTATAAAAATACACACTAGATATTGAAGAATTAATATACAAAGGGAATGAACAATATCTCATTAATAATATTTCACACATGTTGAAACAATAACATTTTTGATGGGTTGCATTATAAATAAAATATAATAGAATTAATTCCACATGTTTCTTTTTACTGTCTCAATGATTACTAGAAAAATTAAAATCTCATATGTGGCTCACATTTATATCACTGTAGGATGGTACTACTCTAAAGTCTTGTTCAAACACAGCAATCAGAGCGATCTTTTTGAAATGTCAGATCTTTTCAGTGTTCAGGCTCAAATTCCCCAAAGGCCTTTCAGCTAGCTAACTCAGGAAAAACCAGTCTTTCCAGTGGGCTACAAGACCCGGCACAATCCTGGCTCTTCAGCTCCTGTTCCTCTCACTAAAGTCTCTCCAGTTTTTAGGACTGCCTCACAAGCTCACCTGAGGACTTCCGTGTTCACATCCCTTCCTTCACTTAGCACACTCTTCTCCAGATGGCTGCCTCACCTCCTCACTTCCTTCAGGTGTCTGCTCCAATGTCTCTTACCAATAGTGAGCATCAGAAAGTCCCATCTTGAACACCCTGTCTAAAGCAGCAGTACGCTTACCCGCACTCAC